ACAACAATCAGTTATAAGGTGAAGGTAAAGAAAAAAGTGCGAACATTTGGAAATACATATTCTGCTGGAGGAACAAATTATCATAAGAAGAGTGTGAAAGTTGTTGTGTTTCCCCAGTGCAGCATTTTCCATTAAAATAGATATTAATTTCTGCTAATTTAAGCAAGATAGTCAGACCTGTGGCCAAAGAACTACTGAAGAATAACTCACCACTTGCTAATTTAGTGACCATTGCCTTGACTGTCACCTTGGTGATTGCTTCCTGTTTCTCACCAATAATTTTCCAAGATCATACATACACCTACATCCATGCAGTGCATGTTATATAATTAGTAGCCGTACACATTTATCAATAACTATTTTTTACTAAGCGAACAGTGAACAGAAATACTGCATTTTGCTCTTTATGATGCTAGGATCATCATCCCTGTATTAGCTGACAACAGACATGAAGAACGTCTGCACTTTTCACACTCAGATAGTCATTCTACATTTGACCTGCAAGTGGACTACTGCTGGGCAGAGAACTCCACTATTCACCACTGGGAAATCAGAGATATGTCTCAGATTATCATAACGTGGTAGAAACAGCCGCCTACTTGTCTTAATTGATCCGCGCCTTATGGTCTGAGCTTTCAGTTTAATGAGCTCTATCCAGCTGTTGCATCTGTCTGCAAAGGAACTGTAATCAACTGACGTTGCTGAAAACACAGACAGAAAAACAAAAGAAAAAACAAAGAAAAAAATATGGATGATGTCTCTTGCTCATCTCAATGCTCCGTCTGAGGAAGCAATTAGCTGTGCCTGAGAGAGAATGAACATCCCTTTCCAGGTCTGTCGAAAGGAAAAGTTACAGAATAGGTGTGGGCGCTCGTCCACAGCAGTGTACCGATTTCTGGAGGGGGCACCTCTGTGAACCAACTGCCTGACTGGGGCTTCGGCACTGAAAAAACACGCAAATATAGTCATTAATGCCTTAGGCTAGGCTTGTTTTTTTTCTTTTTAGTCTGATGTTAGGTAGTAAATTCTAGTTTCTATATGTTTGTTTATGCCTTGTTTAACTTTATTTTGCCCTGTTTTTTTTTTTTTCCATAAAGAGCTGCAGACCATGAATTATACATTCTTATCAATAACTAACCTGGCACACCAAAAAGGTCTCGGGGACTAGGATAAGGGTCACAAGCTGAAACACCACCTTGTTTTTAAATGGGAAAGTATTTCCCTTAAAAAATGCCATTGTCTTTCCCCCAACCTCTCCCATCCCTGACCCCCCCAAATTATCATGACAATGAAAACTAGTTGCTTCTGCTATGACTTTATTTACAGGGGTGTTTGTATATCTTTAAAATAAGGGTTTGAAAACACCATCCTGAAGAAACAAAAGGAGCACATGCTATCTTCAAATTAAGATGACTGATATTAATATCAAAAAAGTTCTCTCTCAAAAACTTATTTTCTGGCAGATAAAGTTATAACTGACAGAGACAGTTATTATTAAACAAACCTGAATTTTGCAATTAAAAAAAAAATCAAAATATCATTATATCAATAAGCCACATCAGAGCATGCATTCTCAGTTAACTAGTAAACACTTCCTGGATTAAGACATATCCAAAAAGAGTATACCAATATCTCAAGAATGCTCATTCTGTTCTGGCATATGGCTAAATTAGGTGAACTCACCTCTCTGTGTAGCAGGAATACCTGTGTGGGAACTTGCTCCCTCCAGGACCTCTATTAAGACAAAAGGAATTTCACTCAGGTACTGTACAAGCACAATTCATTGCAGAGTTTGGTAGGATGTGGCAACAATTTTCTTCTTACAAATTTAAAGAGTAAAATAACAGAAAAAAATCCAGATCAGAAGAAAATAAGCACCTTTGCTCACATAACTCCCCCTCATAGTGAAATATTAAATTCGTTCCTTCTCAGGCGTCTTCACAGAGCTTGGTTTTCAGCTGCAACATCACTACCCGTTTGCTCGAGCCTGAACACATGAGAACACCCCCACCTTACTGCAAGGCCTCTAGAACAGCTACCAGTTGAGGGAAGTGCTAACAATGGTTCCCTGCTTGGGATGTCCCCTGGCCTTTGAAAGTTCTAAAGCCGCTTGCAAACATGAAACTGCAGTAATTTATTGAGAGAGAGAAAACAAAAAAAAGAAAAAAACTCGCAACAAAAACTTTGGCTTAATTTGTAGATACTGGTACTTAAAAAATAGGATCATGCCATCCAGGCTTACAATTGCAATTATAGCTTTTAGCAATGAGAATCACTTGAAAATACACAAAGAAGGGTAAAATGAGGATATTTCACCAAATAAAAAGTTTGGGTGTGAATCCTTGTTTTTCATTTCATCACTCTTGACAGCTGCTATCCTAACATGGAATTCTGACAATATACGTGGATCTCAGAGCAGTCTCTTTATAAAATCATGGAATCTACTAATTAAAATGAGTAAGTGACTTGACTTGCTGCTATAACATCAATTTGCAGCCTCCCTGAACTCCTTTCTCTGCTGAGAGACCTTTACCCGCAGAATACTTCCTTTCACAAATGATTCATGTCTTTACAGAAACACCTAAGTTTTCTAACCAAAAACTACCATGGAAAGTACCATGGAAAATATACTCTCTGAAGAAGTTTCAATCACTAGCAATCTTTCAAACACTAAATATTTTTGGAGAATTATTATACTGCTTCAAAACTCCACTGGCCAATTATACGATTTTGAGGGGCTTCTGGCTGGTCATTTGAAGGTCATTGAAGGTCATTTCCAGCCATGGTGGTTCTATGATTTTGTGTGAAACTGACCCTTAAAACATGCCCAATGTTGGCTTAACTATAAACAGAAAAAAAGTGTCAAGAAGGAAAAACTTCACTCTTGACTCCAGTTGTCTATTTTGGTGGGTATTTCCAGGCTTCCTGATAACTCTAATTTCTTCCAACACATTTCCCATGGACTCATGCCGTTGAGTGACACTAGTTCAATCCTTAAGCATATTTGAGTGATCTGCAACATCCCAACACCTTTCCTATAGGATGCCTACCGACGACAGTCACTGTGTTTCACTAGATGGCTCAGTCATGCTGTATTCCATATCCATCTTGTCAATTAATTCAGCAGGATCTTATTCACTCCTTGTTTTCTTTTCCTCCCACCCCTCTGGCTTTCTTATACATACTTCTTAAACTCTAGGATCAAAGCTGTTTTTAATGGTTTACCTATTACAATATGTGATTTTATTGTGCTTGCATGTGGTTGCATGCATATTTTAGTCAATCCTGTGTGTAATTTGAGATTAGCAGCAGAGCAAGAAAGGGATTTTATGGCAAGTATGCTTACCCTAATACCAAATATTGTCACTAGATGTGAGCAAGACTCCTTAAAAGGAGGCTCATGCTTCAGACTCCTAACACACGAGCTCAGCTCACGTAATAACCTGCATAGTCTATAAAACTCTTGCACTTCTCTACACCAGCATGCGGGTGTAACGCCCTTCGACAGCATGTTGAACAAGATAAGCAAGTGCTTAACAATGAAACTGGATATGTGAGGCACTGCCAAAATGCAAAAATGGGAGCAGAAAAACAAAGCAAAGAATTCAATTAAAAAAAAAAAAACTTTTAACTTTTCCTTAGTATGGGATTTTTAAATGAGATAAATTGAAAACACTAAGTGAACATTAACCTTTCACATTTTTACTTCAACGATGGTAGCGGCAGCTTCTTAACTAAAGCTCATTACAGTACAAGGCCGTGTACATAAATATTTAAAAGATTATAATCTTACAGAAAAGTAAAATAAACGGATGAACAGATTAAAAAAGCTGCTAGGTAACTGTAACTACACTGATGCCTCAGTGTCTACTTGCCTGCTGAAATAATTATCTAGCTGAAGCTGATGCCTCAGTGTCTACTTGTAAAGAAATGCCTGCTGAAATAATTATCTAGCTGAAAGCCTCCAGTGATGTAGAATACAGCAAGAAATGAGAAGAAAACTGGGAAAGTCATACACATGAACAGAGTACCCTCTACTGGTCAGTACCTACTATACAAACAGCATAGTGAAAAGACATTGAAGGCTCTCTTAAGCTGCAGACAAGCAAGACTGACAATTTTCCCAACAGTCTCCTAAATTTCCTAAATTTTCTTGACAATGAGCTGGGCCTGTTCAACCTGAAGAAAAGAAGGCTGAGAGCGGACCTGATCAGTGTCTATAAGTACCTCCAGGGAGGGAGTGTAGAGGATGGGGCTAGCCTCTTTTCAGTGGTGGCCACCGACAGAACTAGAGGGAATGGCCACAAACTGAAGCACCAAAAGTTCCACAGGAACTTAAGGAAAAGATTCTTAACAGTGAGGGTGACAGAGCCCTGGAACAGGCTGCCCAGAGAGGTTGTGGAGTCTCCTTCTCTGGAGATCTTCAAAACCCTCTTGGACGCAGTCCTGTGCCACGTGCTCTAGGTGACCCTGTGTATGCAGGGGGGTTGAACTAGATGACCTCTAGAGGTCCCTGCCAACCTTAACCATTCTGTGATTCTATGATTCAATTCTAAATAATATAACCTATAAAGCACCTCATGTTTTGAAGATATTACATAAATGTATGGATTCACTTAATACAGACCTAAGACTAAACCAAACGGTAAAATAACACATCACCTTTGAAGGTGAGCTTATTGATGCTATTTCAGTGCTAAACTAAAAGTAGACACTAAAGTGTCTACTTTTTCAACCAGAACCAATAGACTTCAAGAAGATAACAATGCAGAAAGGCTGCTCTACAGGGGAATAGAGTTTGACATAATATTAATATACACGTTCTCTTTTTGCATACTAAATACCCATTCTTAATATTACAGCATAATTGTAGAGCACTGAATAACAGACTCCAGGACTTCAAAACTAAATATTCCCTGCCTCAGTAAAAGGCAAAGTATAAGCTTTGCAAAATCGTTACTGCAAAAAGCTTTCTTCTTTTATCTTGGTCAAAGTTTACAGATCTTCTCAAAAATGGAAAGGTTAATATTATGATAGTGTAACCAATTAAATATAAAGTACACGCAGATACCTGAAATAAATAATTGCAACACAATAAGTATAAACAATAATTACTAAAACAATTGCTGAAATTAAATTGACCTCTGAAAATACAGGTAAATATTGTGGAAACTTCCCTTTAATATCAGCAAAAGAGGTAGCTCCTTAATAAACCAGCAAAGAAAATTTTCAATATTGTAAACTTACTAAATGTCCTTTATCACCAGTCATTTTGTCAGGCAAAAGAAAGCAAGGATGGCAGATTACAATAAATGACCATCTGATTTTTAATATGATCATACAAGATTTATGATAAATATTCTTGAAATGCAGCTATACTTCAGGTAAGATAAAGCAAATGTTTAGCAGCTAAAGGCACTGTATGATCCAAGCTATTTATCAAATTAAGTTTAAGCTCATTTCAGTTCAGAAAGCCTGCATTGAATTTTGCTCAGATGAACATTTAATGTTTGCCACGAAGTATTCCTCACTGTGAGAACTGTGACATGAATTATTTGAGGCTGGCTGTACATGGAGCTTATTTACACAGGCTATTTACACACACACAAAGCAGTATGAGGCAAGTGTAATTATAAAATAATTAATAATTCCGTAACACATCAAATGCCGCCCACCCAACACCATTTTTGTTACTTTCAATACACTAAATGTAACAAAAGATAAAGAACTACAGAGAAATTTCAAGAGAAGGTAAAGAGACAGAGCTACTTAACTCCTGAAAATTTTGATTTAAGGACAGATCATTTCCATCTCGCTAAAGGTTGCACATAACACTAGAGCCTATGAAAGTACAGATATTTTAAAGTTACTGTAATGATGAAAGAGCAGCACTCAAAATCAGTGAAAATCAGCGTCCTTTTGTTTAACCAACCTTTAGCTGGTGAGAATGGCTGGGAAGCAAGGGGATCAGAGCAAAGTTCCAAAGGGAACTGTAGCTGTTCTTCATTGTCTGTAGATACTTCAAGCAAGAAAACATACCACACACACAGTTAACTCCCAAAAGGAGATCTGCCAATAACAACAAGCACTACAGTTTTAATTTAGTCAGGTCTGATTGGAACACATTTATTCAGCATAAGCATATAGTGGTGTATTTCTGTATGAACAACTAGATGTCTTAACAACAAAATCATCTGCAAAATCAGTTGAACAGACCTGTGTTCCACTTAATCTTGCGAAAAAAAATATCAAGCCAATTCACATAGTTTACATTTGACTCTCTCCAGTCAGACCCGAGTTCACTTGTGATAAATAGAATGTTACTTTCTACTGTATCTCACATGAGAGAAAACTATTTCTTGTTCCTATTGAACAGGGTAAAATATAAAGAGTATTTTAGCAGCATATCACTCTGAGCTTTCCTGTTTAATTCCATTCTTCAGAAGGGACTAATTCTCCAAACTCTGTTTGTCCAAACTCCTTTCAGATGTGCTGATTACATACATACTTTTTTTGCTAGCAGGATAACGCACACAGATGGCAGTATTCTATTCCCTCCACAATGCTATATGCTTCACTGAGCTCCAAAAATACAACTGACCTACTTATGATTTTGGGAACTCTTTTTTTTTATGTATTATTATTATTATTATAAATAACTTATTTTCCATCTTCCCAAAGTAAAGACTGAAAGTGCTACTTAAAATGACTAGTCTAATGACTACATCATGTGTTTCAAAATGAAGTGAAAATGCAGTCATCTCTTATGCTATTACTGTTGACAGAAAATTATTCAAGGAAAGATATGGAAGAAGGAAACACCAAGTGCCTCTTTCATATTACTCTAAGTTGTTAAAATACAAGTGCGTACAGGTTTGAGTGATCCTGCTGCAAAACACACACATGAACGCTAAAAGCTTCATTTAACTCTGCTTTAAGTCTATGATTCTACAAAGCTTCCCTCTGAAAATGTCTGCTTTTAACCAAAAGTAAAATGTAGAACCATTAGAAATATAATTTTTATATATGTGTGAATTATATAAATACAGTTTACACACACACAAACACTATCTTTTATCTCTACATGCCTCACTACATTTACCTCTTTGCTGAGCTTTTTCTGTAGGGGCTTTATTAGCTTGTAATGCTTGATTTTTGTCAAACGTTATTGCAACAGCTGTGACTGCGATCTGTAAATAGAAATATGACCTATTAGTTCAAATAAAATTCTTCTTGTGCAATCTCCAAAAACATTTCTGCACGAAACAAGTTTTTCTACAGAAAACCAAAGAAAAATAATCCAAGTTAGAAATATTAAAACCTTTCATAGCAGAGCATTATACCTAATACAAAGGTCTGCTCTTAAAACATACACCGGACTGTTTGTCCCAAGCTTATCATTTTGGTCAACAATTCTTATTTTCTTTGGTGTAATGACCAGAAAAAAAGAAGTTATTTCTCACTACATCAGTAAAATATATAAAGATTTCTTTTAACTGATCATAAAAATTATGTTGAACTGTACAGAAAACATTTTACTAAAAATTAAGAAAGTATCCTGAATCCTTTTGAAACAGAACAATTCAGATAGTTATGCTGGTATCACTCTTAGAATCTAATTTGCCATATTATGGCATATCCATTATATTCTAATATATTGCACATAAGCTTTTGCTCTTCAGAATTCACCAGATATATTAGTAATGGAATCCTACCCTAATTTACTCACAACAGCAAATGGCAAATAAAAGCCAAGCTAGCATATCTGAAAGACAGAATTACCTGAACTAATTCATCCTCTGGAAGAGCAACTGTAAAATTTACATGACAAAGGCAGCAGGGAACCATGGATCGTAGTTTAAAATATAAGCTCTGTTGAAAAGAAGATATTATTTGTATTACTCCGAAAAAAATGCATTGGTTATTTCAAAGAAATTAAAGAGCAGATTTCTTTTCATAGCATAAAGCATTTAAGTATACCTAATATCTCTTGAAGAAGGCCTTTGATGCCTAAAACTCATAGTAGAATGTAAAGACTACTGTGCAGAGTAGATTATTGCTGTTTCTAGAACACACTGCCAGTCAAAGGATTCATTCCGATTCAAAAGCTTTGGAGATTCACAGTGTATTAATCTATCTACCTTTAGAGCAATTTATAGTCATAGCTCAAAATAAAGTCTAATTCTGAAAAAAAAAATCCATTTTAACTAAATCCATTTTAATGATTTAAAATGTGTGAAATAAGCCTCTTACCTTCAAAAGATTCTCACAGAGATCATTAAAGTTCTTATTAAGTGTTTGATTTGTCAGGTTTATGTTGCTTAATCTGGATACTCTTACTGCTGTGAACATCTGAATGAAAACAAACACACTGATTTTTCCCCCCCGCAAGATATTTCTATAGTTACATGAAAAAAAAAAAAAGTTCATAATGAAGATAAATTAATCATAACACAGGTAAAAAAAAACAAGAAAGACGGAAAGGAAAAAAAAGTGCATTAACAGTCAGATACAACGGTGATCACTCACGAGATTTTACAAATAAAAGGAAATAACCAAAGAACTTTTGTGAATTTGTATATCTGAATATATGAAAAAGGTGATTAAGGAAATATAAAATACTGTATTTCATTTTATTTGTCTCTCAAAGGAGTCATTGTACCCTGCTGTATCTACAGCTAATCTTCAAGAGCAGTACCAAATGTCATGAACAGTAAGGTAGCCATAGTAGAGTGTCATGTATCAATCCACAAGCATGTGGTGCTGATGCCAGCTGTACGTGTGCTCAGCACATACAACCCTTCTAGCTGTTTTGACTCTCTGTGACCCTGAATGATGATGGTCACCATTTCATACTAAATAACTGATTCAATAATCTGCTTAAGAGGCTCTAAAATCCAGTTAAGATCTTAAAAATGCTTGATAATTTAAAATTCATATTGTAATTATTTTATAATTTTCATGATTTTGCAAAAAAAAATCTATTTTACATAAAAGCATTTAAAAATCACAAAGAAAAAGTCCATCAATTTTTAACTGAGGTAATATCAGAATATTTAATACTATATGATAATATAGAATCCTTTCTTAATTTAGCTTTCCAATCAAGTATCTCTAGTATCTATTGAAATTGGTGCAGAATTGGTTCAACAGAATTGGAGGGGGGGGAGAAACGACATTTTTTATAAATAATCTTACTTGAATTTCAGGAGTCCAGTTATTTATACCAGGCATAATTTCTGTGTTGCAACTGTAAAAACCTGTAAAACACATTCACATTGAATACTGAAATATCAAAAAACTTTATTTAAAAGTGTATGTAACCTTCCCTGGAAGTTTTGCAAATATTTTGCAAAACACATGTTCAGAAAAACAAAATGAAATAGACCAACAATCTAAAAATTATAGCAACCGAAGAATACAATATAAGACACAAAATGAAAAATGGCTAGGAAACATGCAAATCAATAAAAAAAATACTGTAGTTTTCTATAGAATATTTGTTGTGATTATTTCTTTGACTGACAAAAAGCAAGACCAGAAGTATCATCAGACTGAGGCATATGAGGTATCTGATCAAGATGCACTAGACATTCTTGTACGAAGGGCAAACACCAACAGCTCACTACACTGAACTCTGGCAACTTGCAAAAGCATGCATCTGAATAAATCTTCTTTCACATCATCAAGAGGAGGTATCTTGTTACGTGACACTTGAACAAAGGCTTTGTACAACTCTATCTGCTCAGCACGTTGCAAACTGCAGAAAAGTTTAGAGGCTACCATAAAAATCAGCACACACCCCAAGTTTTTAATTATACCTGAAGGTGGTGGAGCATCGGTCAGCAGAGAATGTACATCTTCCATTGCGTCTGTATCATCAATCTGGAAAATGTAGTAATTGATAAAAATCATACAAGTGAAGTCTATCTGCCCTTGTATGTTTTGTAAATATTTTTGTGTGTATCACTGGGTTCATTGTTTTGCAAGAGATCCAAATTTACCCCTACTTTCAATCATTTTTCCGTCAAGTTTTTTTTGAAACCCTTCATATTTTAGTATCAGCATTAGAAAGCTGTCTCTAAGGTATCATCTTTTTCCTCCTCTTAAAAAAAAAAAAAAAAAATCAATCTGTTTAAAAGTATGGAGAATTTAGGCCATATAATTGCCTTTCCAGCATTTCATAGCATTTTCTCAGCACATTAATCTCAGCCCTTTTTCTTACATATTTTCAATGAATAATGATTTATTCTTGAGAGGTCAGAGTCAGAAGCTCCATTAGAGCTCCAGGAATATTGCTTCTCTGTACTCGGTTTCAGAGACAGTAGCAGTAAGTGGTTATACTAGTCGACCACTTCTATAGATGGAAAATTATTTTCTTCTACAAGTGAACACTGGATTACCAGAACACAAGGACATCCTTGTGTAGGATATCCTACAACAGACACATTCACATAATGCAAATTAGTTATCCCTACCTTCAAATATATATGCCACGGAAAATAAATAGCATATAGGGAAGAATTCCCCCAAAATGTTAAAAAACAAAACAACCCATCCACCAAAAACCCAGCAACAACCTCTGCTTCTTCTATATAATTAAGCTCTTAATTAGCTGATCTTTGCCTAGAATGTATTAATCTTCTTTCCAAGGCAATCTGACTTACACTACTCTTTTTCAAAATTATTATTTTTATTGTTATTGCTACCTCTCTCCTATTTGCAAGACTTTGAAAGCAATATGAAGCTAGGCCCCCAACTCAAGCTTTTTTCAAAATTTGTACAGAGCGTCTTCACAGTCTTTGCATTTTTTATTTCTTGGAAACACACTATTTTTTGACAGAGGCATTCAAAACATCTTTTGATGGACTCATCCATTTCAATGCTCCCTGTCAGACAGTATCTTTCGTCATGTTTATTTTGATTATAAAATGTCACTCCCACTCGTCTACACAGCTGACTTTAAGACCAATGCTACTTACACAGTACATTATACCACACAATAACTACTTAATTAAAACAGCTCTCATTACTTTTAAATTTAAGAGTTAGCTACTATCAAAGTTTATCTTATGGAAAAACAGAAGCAATGCAAAACGTAATTTTTAACAATTTCTACTGATACCATATGGAAATACATATATAATTTAGAAACTGGTTTTGAATACAAGAAAGAAATCCTTTCTGTGCTTTTTACAAACATTTCAGAAAAGAGAAGTATGAACATTAATACTAAGAACATTCATCACCTCCAAGACAAAAGCATCCTTTTTCCCATGTGAAAGGTCTAGCTCAGTAACTTCATCGGAGCTTTCTGACTGAGATCTTAACAGCCTGGAACGTTGTCTGGGTTCTGGAATGGGAGACCCAATGATCTCTTCAGGTAGCTCCTAAAACCAGTATCATAATGAAATTAACAATTGTTCTATACAGTTCATAAACCATTTGAACAGTAAGCAGTTCACTTATAGTCCTAAGAGTCAAACCATTCTGAAAAAAAGAAAGTTGTAGAAAAACACATGTAGGTAATTTTGGACAATATCCAAACACAGAGAATCATTTCCATGGATGAAGAGACCTGAGAATTCCAGATATGTTCATGAAAAGTGAAAAGTTCATCTGTCTTTATTAAAAGAAAATATGTTCTGAATGACACAATCATTCAAAAGCATATGCATACACACAGTGCATGGGTTTATTTTCAAGCATATAAAAACTTTACTTACAGGGGGATTGATCTCATAAAGCTCCTTATTTTTTGCTATTGTATCATTTATCTTTTTCTGCATATGAGATATGTGCTGTTCATAGCTGCCATCATTTGGAGTTTTTCCAGCAATCTGAATACCACCAGGTGTTGGCAAAGCTGCTAGATACACACCTGTTGCAGACTTAAAATAATTTAAGAAATTACACTTCAGCAACTTCATATCTCTTAGTTTAGCATGTATTCCTACTATTTTCATATAGCCTCAGTATTGCTTAAGCGTATATCTTTACAGCCTGATATATTCCACAATAAATGAACCCTCCTTTACTAACAGTGCAAGCCACTACCCTTTTAAAACAAACTTTCTCCCCTTCTCATGGCTGTTTCTACAATGAGTCTTGCAGCTTACCCCAAAGTTCCAGCTACACATGAACTGAAACCTCTGCTGTCTTCTAAAACATTCTGAATTTAGCTTCAAATTCAGAATGAAATACATTGCTATAGGTCCAGTTTGCATAGTTAATGGCTCATCTGGGCCATTCTGCATAGTTAAGCAACAGTTTTACAGTTTCACAGATTTAAGATCTTAATGTCTCAGACATTAAGGATATCACTGAAGTTGTGACAGTCCAATATATATTTACAGAAAGCAGATCATAAGTTCAGACAAGAGGTAGCCACTTGGTATTACCCAAGCACCCTCTTACTGATGGAGAGAGCAACATACTTTACTATTCTAACCCCAACAACAAAATGAGGTGGTTAGAAAATATTCTTAATAAATATCTCCTACCTCCTCTTATAACTAGGACACTTTCAATGTATCATTTATTTCTGCACTGCCACCAAAGAAGTGACACAAGTCTTTCTCTTTTTGGCAACTAATCACAAGATTTATTGATATTTTAATTGGCAAACATCTTATTTTTTATGGGAAGGAGATGAAACTTAAGAAAAGATCTCTGACAGGGCCTTTAAAGAATATAATCATTTTCTTACAGCGTATGCCAATATATTCTTTAAAGCTTTTTCCTCCCTCATGCCCTTTCTTGTCCTTGCCCTCTAACACAGTTTCAAGGGGATCCAGCCTGTTTTTTCTGATGCTGAAAGTCTCTTCTGCTTTGTCAACAGTTACTTATTACAATCATTTCCATCACTTCACTTACTCTTAAAATGACATGTTAATCTCTCTGTTACTCTGAATTCCACACTTGTCACCTGAAGAAAATAGCGTAAGAAAGCAAAAGGATCCCCAGATTAAAGCAACACTTACTGCCAAGCCCATTAGCATATTTTCACCCACAGTGATTTGTATCCTCAGCCCAAACAGAGCGTTCATTCCTCTGAGTTTAAGTTTATTCATCAGCTGGGTGTGCACTTCATATTCCATAAATGGCAAGAGGTTACTGATAGATGTTGCATTTGCTTCTGCTTGAGCTTTCTTCTTTAGACGGCATAACCTAACAACATGAAACAGAGCATGACATTAGCAAGATAAAAGGATGAAGACCACTGAAGACCGAAAATTATCACAAAATATTTTTATTTATTCTCACTGAATAATACAATACAAATGCTTGCTTTGTTTGTTTTTAGTATTTTAAAATCTTGTAAAAGCATGAAGTAAATTCTTCACAGGCAATCCCAAAGTAAGCCTCAATAAATATGATCTCATTTTCATTTTAATGAGGAAACTGTATTTAAATTGACAAAAAACATTTAACATTCTGCTTACTAAAAAAATATAGTCTTCATCAATATTGAAGAGCAGATCAAACCAGAATACAATAATTAGAAAATATTCTTTTTTCCCCACCCCACACCAAATAAAATCATGCTTCCTTCCTTAAAAGGCACTAAGGAGTGTTACCAGACAAACAACATGCATCATACAGCATTTACCTTAAAGGAGCCTAAGAACACCCCAAAAATTATGCAATATAAAGAAGTTATCTACAGATTCTAGATAGTCAAATACATAGTAGATGGTTAAATATATAAACATTGCTATCATACACAGCAACAATTGTACAATATGCAAAAATATTCCAACTAACTTTTATCAGAGAAGATAAGACAAGAAACCAGACCTCTTTGCAAAGTGTGTCAGGAGTCATCTCAAAGAACCTGCAAGATCAGCAGGTACTCTAAAGACAAACTGGGCGCTGCCCAGTGACACTAAAAGGCAATTTCTAAGGCGATGCTGGACTTCCTTCACTTTAATAGTAGTGAAAATACCACAGGACCACTAGAGAACTCATCCACCATAGCTCCAGTATTTCCCCTCTAGCAGAATTCAAGGAATTATAATCACAGGATTGCAAGAAAACTCAGGCTGGAAGGCACATCAGGAGGTTTCCAGTCCAAGGTCCTGGTGAGAGGAGGGTCATCTGACATCAGACCCAGCTGCTCAGTGGTTTATCCAGTTGAGTCTTTAAAACACCATGGTTGAGGACTGCAGGGCCTCTCAAGGCAAGCTGCCCAAAAGCCTGAATCTTCTCACGGGGAAAAAGTTTTTCCTTATATCCTGTCTGAACTTCTCCTGTTTCAGCTTATGCTCACTTTCCTCTCCTCCCACCATGTACAAGTGTGGAGATCCCTACTTTGTCTCTGCCATAGCCTCCTTGAAAGGAGGGGCAGGCTGTATTACATGCCCCTGAAGGCCTCCGTTCTTCAGCTAAGTCCAGCTCCAACAGCCCCTCCCTTCCAGAATAGGTTCTCCAAGCTACTGACAATATTGGTGGCCCTGTTGAACTTGCTCTAGTTCTCTGCGTCTTTCTTGGCCTTGAAGGGGGACAAGGCTGGACAGACAACATATGGATTGGTCTCCCTCAATTTAGCATCACCAACATGCTGGAGAGTCCATCACCTCAAAGTCACTGCTATGCCACAAGATACATCCCACTGCGATACTCCACTTGTCACAGGCATCCAGGTAGATTAAGAACTATTAATCACAACCCTCTAAGCCCAACCATCTAACTGTACCAGGTACTTGGCCAAAAATACAGACGAACGGCTAACAATTCCTTCTTTTTCACTGCATATCTTGGCTTGAATAAGACAAATACCTGGCTTGAATCAGACACCCCTTCCCAATAACGATTGCCTCTACAGGGAGATCAATTGTAGTGAAAAGGACATCGGGAACCTTTTGCTTCCTGCAGTTGTAACAGTATGTGAGGTGAGCAGGGAATGGCATGTTCAGTTCATCATATGGTATATGGCAAAATCCACAACCTGGTGGTGAAGTTTCTTCAATCCTAAAAATACATTATGGAGAGCACATTTAAAACATCTGTATTGTAATAACAAGGATCAATAGGCACACAAATGTTTAAACATCTACAGATACATTACACCTACACTCTATTTCATGACATCTATGTCACAGGTTATTATATCAATTCAAAAGAATAAAATAAGGCTGCACACTACTAGCTAAAGTGGTATACCTAAAAACCTGCATTATGCAGGGGACAAGAAACAAGTGCATAAAATGGCCAAAAACTTATGTAAGTCTAAAATCTTACTGTGCTGGCTTTCTATGCTCTACAATTATGACTTTCAAAAAGTAGTCCACAGTACACCAGTTTTGGAGAGAAATTGCTGTACCAAATACAAAGCAAACATCCTCTCACATAGACTGTAACTAAAAACCTACCAAATCTAATCAGGAGAATATAAACAACAAAACCACCCTACTGAGAAACAGTACAGTAGACATTAACAATATAAAAAGGAAGAACAGCAAGACTAAGCTGTGGTATTGGATGAAACTTGTTATTCATTTAGAACTAAGATGTCTCTTCCCCCCGAAAATATCCAGGAAAAACTGCTCTAAAAATCAGAATAAGGAAAGTTCAGGCTAACTGCATGCCGCGCATTTATTTTGCTCCAAAAGAGTCTTCTCGGTGAACTCTGAGGAGATATTTAAACAAATGACTTGGAAGCCTTTCGGAAGCATGTTTTGTCTGTGCTTAGTTCATTTGACTGTTTTGTCTTCCTTCAGCATTCATAATCTACACCAAGATTTTCAATAGCACTGAAACACATATTTTGATTGAAAAAAAAATGTCTTTCCATTATGAACATTACTCTTCTTTCTCTCCAGTTCCTTTTTTTTTTTGTAAACATTGTCCTTTCAAAGGAGAAATGGAGTTCAGAACCAAACATTTTTGTTCTGGCTACAGTTCTGAAGAGGCTATCTACAGGAAAAATAATGGCCACTTGCTAACATAGATAAAGCATATGAAATAATATTGTGTTAACAAGGTATTATGGAAAAGTAACAAAAATACAGTGTAGTAAGTACACCGTATACTTATGACTATCGTAGTCCCCTGAAATATATGATGATTATCATAAGGAACACACAGAAAATTATCTAACTATTGTTTTCCCAAAAAATATCCATTTGTCAAAATTCTTCCCTCAAATTTCACTTGCAAAAGCTGAAACAAAGGAAGGCAATGGGAAAGTTCATGTTTTTTTCTTTTTGTTTCATGATTTTGTTCATAACTTCAAATAAAATATATATCTTGGCTAAAAATACAGCAACATTTTTGTTTTACCAAGGTACATCACCTTCCATACAGCTATTAAATAGTATACAAAACAGTCCACATATTATAGCCACAGTAACATTTGGCTCATGTAATTTATCATATATCCATCTTTTGTTTCAATAGGTTCTATAAAGGTGAGAAAGATACCTGAAGAGTGGCAAAGGAGGAGGGGAAGAAAAAAAAATGGGAGTTATAATCTGTGGTTAGTAGTCAAATGTGTTACCTTATTCAGACTGTTAGAAATAAAAACAGATTATCTAATTTGGTGCAGAGTTCCATTACTTCTGTTGTTGTTGTTGTTAGTGAAAAGCAGTAAAGTGGTTGGTCCCGCGTCCTGCACTGTAACACTGTAACCTACCCTAATAGAGAAGAACTATCTTGGCTCTGAGGAAAAAAATCAACCTCTCCCTTCTCTGACCCTATGGAAAAGAAGCCAGGCTGCCATGACAACCTTTGTTCCAAACAGCCTTCCACGGTGCCATCCTGAAGAAACCTAGGGTTCAGTACAGCTGCTGTGCCAGACGCGGACAAAATACAGACCTCTTCACTATAAGAGAAAAGAATTACAACAAAGTGAATTCCTTCTGCATAATGTTTCTTTTACTTAAAGCTATTAAATTAAAGGACTTGTTCAAAAGTCTCAATTTCGTGCATTTGTGCAATTTCATCCATTAAATCTCACAAAACTGTCCTCCCGAAGTATTTAAGCTATTGTCCAAGAAATAGATGCAGAATGACTAAACAGCTTTGCCCATGGTAATAAATAATATGCTATAATATCACACCATCTAGCCAGGTTTAAGAAAGACTTTCAATACTACAGCTGTTAATGCTAAGAAATCCAACCAACCAACAAAAGCAAAGAAACAGAAAAAAAAATTAAAGCAAGGCATAATCATTTACCAAAGTAAACTGGAAGTTGAATGCCTCGTCATCTTATAAACACTCACTCTCAAATTGAAGTTACAATACAACACTGACAAGGCTGTTTCTTGAAGGATAAAAAGCAGCAAAACAGTAAAATTTAAGTATAATAATTATAATGATGCATATAGCATGTAAAATAATTGACGTTATTCCTGATTTAGGAGAAATAAATTTCTCATACTGGCAAAGTGTGATCACAAAATACTTAGTATTTTTTAAATTGTTAAAATATGAGACAGATCTATAGTATTCAATATTTAAAACACTACGCTGAAAAAGTCACAAAGAAATAATTTCCTGCATTTTCTAGAATGACCTATTTGCCTTTTTTTTTTTAACTTGTCGTCTCTTTTTCCCAGACTCCTTTTCATAGATTACATCTGGCAGTTCAGTACTTATTGACTAGATCCTTAATCTTTAAGCATCAGTCTACAAGTATCAGTCTGATCTGAAAAATAAGCATGGGGACCCCAATACATGATCAATGATCGAATATAATCACACCAAATTTCTAAAGAAAAATAGAAGTATGAAATCTCCTAGTAACTGACTGCTACCTATATTCTTTACATTCTTTTACAATATTATAGATTTTTTTAATCAGAGCAAAAAAATTAATGGGAAGGACCAATAGATGTGAAGAACTGAACTCTTGTGTCTTTCAGATCGATCCTTTCTGGTTATCTTACAACTCTAACACAGAATTAAGAAATAGATTTTTTTCTGGAGCTGGAAAAACCCAACCTTCTTTGAGGCAGGGAGGAAGAGGAGTAATTACATCAACTGAATTATTTCTCCAAAACACCAAGCCTCTCACAAAGTTTAACATTAAGACACTAAAATACAGAACAACTTATTTTTGTTGTTGTTGTTGTTTTTTAGTCAAAGAGAACGGAGTGCCAGTACCATACTGGCACTTTGGCCTGACTGGAATGCATGGCTAGGAAACTTAGCTAGGAAACTTTGACACTCCATCCCAGTAGGAGGGCTGCAGGGCTGCAGTATAATACACTGAACAGTAGTGTAGTGTTGAAAGATAAAAGTAATTTCTAGAAAAAATTACAAGAGTGAAATTTACAACAAACCATGCTTGATCTACCAGGCAGTATATTATCCCTTTACAGACTATTAATATATTCCTAGTAAAGAACTTAAATTATAAGCTTTGAGCTTAAAAGACAAGTACTGGACTGCCAGTCACTAGCAGGTAATAGAAGTGCAACATTTTCATGAACAGTATTTAAGCAGATCAAGTTTAGAAAACCTTTTATAGATACACATTACTAAAAAAGCAAATACGTTCACCTGGGAAGTTGAAAATAGATAACGGCTAAAAGTTTTGATATTTATTAAAAGTAAGTAAATAAAAATGTGGCACCCTGATTAACTCTTCAAATACAATACTGGAATCTAAGCAAGCCTCTTTAACAAACAGGTAAATTACACAGTATCAAGATTTGTGTTGAAATGTTTAACCGCTTTTAATCCACTAAACATGAAATAAATTGCCTGTGGCATTTAGAAAATGAAAACATCATGATTTACCAAATGCTAGTTGATTCACTGTAGCCCACTACAGCATGACACCCTAATGCCTTGGCATGGGATTTTATTTCTTGTCTGATTTCTGCCCACCAAGCATCTCGTGTCTCTGGTTCATCTGAAAGACAAAGTATAAATCAGTTCACTATTCTATACTATGTCAATATAAAGTTTCATGCAATTAATCTGAAAGGATACTGTATTTGATGGGATTTTTCATATTTAAGTGCTTTGCTGTATCTTGTAACTTTTTGCTTCTTATCTACTGCACCTCAAGTATTGAGCAAACACCAAGCAGGCGATTTCACGGTCTTGCTTATTGTCAATGAAACAAATCACTGCATTCTTGTTGTTGTTGTCCATGTGACAGTTGATACCAGAAACACAGCAGATATCACTCCAAACTTGAAGATCCACTTGCAGACCATACTATCAGCTTTCCAACATCAGCAGCACATAATTCACAATAAAACATCACCCTTTGAAATATCAAAAAATAGCAGTAGTCGTAACAACGAAGCATATTTATATTAATAAAATAATCCAAACAGCTTTACTATTGACAGAAATTCTTGCTTAACCAGAATTTAAAGATGTTTGTTAAAGAAAGATTATGTCATTGTCAAACACAACTTTGTGATAAGTTGCAGTTTCTGTATTTCTGATGCACAGGAACCATGAGCATTTGAAAGTATTTCCACATTAACAGAATTAAGAAGTGCAAGATGTGTGGTTTGTATTTGTCGATGCTTTTTTTGCTTTAGTAACCTGCATAACTGCACTTTTTTTTTCCAAAAAGGATTCTTTTTGTAATTATCTTTATTTTTTTAAGTATACTGCAACTGGTGAAATATATGGATTTCCTGAATTAAAAATTTAAAAATACAATCAAGAGACCTACTACATAAATTCGTGCAAACCATTCATTTCAACTGAGTTAGTCACATGGAAATAAAATTTTTCTTACAAGCTTTCTATCTATGAAGTCAAGAGCTGTTAGAGCTTGTAAAGTTTCTTCTTTTGAAATGGTGCTTTTTTTTTTTTTAAACCAATAACTTAAAAACTATGTTAACTGTCAATACATAAAACTGTAGCAAACAGTAGGCACTCTGATGATATAAAGGGATCCAAGTGGGAAAGGTCTTACATAATTGTTCTGAAATCAACCAAATTTTGCCTGGATATGAACCGGTACTCATCTCGATCTCCTTGCAGTAACATAATTTGAAATATCAATCTTAAAAAATTAATTTATATATATTTATGGAAATATCTATAGTGTATATATACTATATACATGTATATTTTATATATACATAGATATAGATATGCATATCTTTCTCATACACTATGTCCTTTGAAAGAATGACCAACAAAAATGAGAAATGTAGCTATAAAAATGTTTTGAAACTTAGTGAGACACAAGAACTGTAGGGCAGGATGTATTCACTCCTGATTTTACCTAAGCTTTTGATTTGGAGATGAGTCTTGATCTTTCTGAAGAAACTAATCATCATCTTCTATTAATAAAATAACATAAATACATATTTAACACTTCAATTTAGGTATATTTAACACACACGTACTAATAGCACTGTATTGACCAACAACATCCTTCTCCTTGCTGAGGTCGCAGGAGGAGCCAGCCAGGGCACAGGCTGACATTTATCTAACCTTTGCTCTAAGAGACATACACTGAACAGAAGAAATTACAGCACAGCTCTTTGGGAAGTTATCCACATTCAAGACAAAAATATATACATTAAAACACAAAACAGACTAGGGATCCTTATGGACTGTATCAATAATGTTCCATTATATCCAAGCTAACCCTCAGCAATCCAGCTGCAATGCATTTCTGATAAAATCTCTAGGCACTACAATAGCTGTTTCTCAGAGTGAAAACACTGTGCAGACACGTCCTCTAGTTGCCAAAACTAACTGCTTTAAGAAAAAATACCCTAATCCTGACTCTCATGGTCGCATGATCTACCATCAATGTCTGGCTCTCCAGCTTTCAGAAGCTGAGGTGAGGCACAAGCAGCCCATTACACAGAAGGGTTCCCAAGCTCAGCTATGAGAGCCCCTTGGGGTGGGCACAGTCAAGGAAAGGGGGAGGCAAAAGGTCTTCTCTGTTGCTGGTGCTTCACAGTACCCAAACAGCAGCTGTCATCACTGCTGAGGCTGCTCAGTTAATGGCAGGTAAGCAAAGGAATTTTGGAAACCTGTTTTAAGGCAAAGGCTACAAACCTCTGACAAAAGGAGGAGCTGGAGGGAAGATTCAAGCCCACAGGCGCTTTCTGTACACCTATCTCTAACTATCATGGTGAGAGGGATATGGATCTCAGGAGGAATTCCTCCTTCCCAATCCAATTATACACAGTAAATTTGATCATCAGTGTTTTTGTGTCTCTACAATAGAAGAGTGCAAAACCTTAAAAGTAGTAGAAACAGTGCTTTAGCAATTCTTAGCAATTCTTGCTCAGCTAGACTGGACCACAGGCAGCTGCCTAAAACCCATTATGGACCAGCCCCACACATTTTCACATTCCACTGTGGGCGGAGGGGGCGGAACCTGCAAAGAAGTAACTGTAGTTTTACAGTCTTTTCTAGACAAAGTGCCTGATGCAAAGGAAAGTTAATTAGTTTCTGGCCATAATTTTAAGGGTAAGCATTTGGCATAAATTACTCCCACTAGTTATTAATGACCCTTTTACGACAAAAATGGCAAAAGAAATGTGAAGTCACAATCAAGGAGTCAGAAGTGATAAACAGGATGAAGGGACTGAAGATGAAGAAGGAAAGTGCTGTGGAATAAATGATAACATTACAAGCATAACATGAAACTGGAAAGGCACATGGCCACGAGTAGAAGCTGAAACAGGATGAAATACTAAAAGGAATGAAAATACTAAAAGGGAATGGACGTGGTGGAAATAGTAGTGACGGGTCCCAACCTCAATGCAAACACGTAACATCTCCCTACAAGAAATCTACAGAGTAAACCAAAGTTTGGGAGCAAGTCTCCTGGAGAGTTAACACAGTTTCCTCACCTAATCTATCTACAAAGTGCAGGATTATAAGGGAAGTGCATACTGTTGTGAGGTTGCTCAACACTATGTCTTGATCAGGCAACATTTAATCTTTCATTCTTTTTGATAGCCTGGTCAAAATCAGGATTAACAAGAATAAAACTGATCCATAATATTAGTTTTTGTTAAAGATAAAACAATTTACAGCCATTGTCTTCGGTGTAAACAGGATCAGGCTCAATATAGCTCGCAAAAATCCAACAACTTCTCATTGCACAAGTTCAAAAGTCTCTATAAAAGACATGTCCTTGTAAAGGAGAGCGAGTCCTCTGCTTAAGACATAAAATTGAATATTTTTCTCTTGCAGAAAGAGGCCAACGTTTATAAAAGTTTATATTTAAATACTGTACATTCACACATTTACACACTTACCTTTGCATATTAAAATACAACATGATTGTCTACAATTAAAATCAAACACCATGACATTGCAATAATAAATTGATACAAAAGACTGAATGCAGTGCAATGTGTAGCATTCGTATTCTTCTGACAAATATTTTCACAAGCAGCCTTTTTTGACACATGAGCCACACAATTCCACATGGGGATGCCATTGTAGCATTTACAAGTTTAGTAAAGCTAGGGATTTACATAAACAATTAGAGGAGTTAGGGAAGCAGGATGGCATGTGTCCAGTACACCCCATGAGGGTGTCTGTTGTTGTTTTTGGCTAAGGCAAAAGCTTAAGAACTACAGGTTTGCAAAGCAGATTCAGCAGACAGTAGCCAGAAACGGTGGGTATTTTGGCGCATGCTTGGATCAGGTGACAGTACAGACTGAAAACTATGGCAGCTCACTGAAATGGTTACAGAAAGTAATGGCCCTGGATTCTAGGTGGAAGCAAAAAGGCAAGCATACATAGCACTCAATCACAAGCTTTTCTAGCAGGTCTACTGGGTAGTTTATAGCAGGGATTATCTAAATCTTTAAGCAAAAAAGTTTGCAAATATTACACTGCTATTAAGTGCCCTTTATTGGAAACCAAACACTATTACACCTACTTTTATTGTATTTCAAAATTGACATGGTATTTATAAACAAAGTGGAAGCAAAGCATACCATTTCTAAAGCTGAAGACTTAAAAAACAATGTTGTGAACAGTACAGTATTCAATAAAAATTGTGCCAACTCAAACCTCCTCCAACTGAAACTGTCCAAACTTGCTTTCATTGGAGAGCTTTAGAAGATGCAAACAGCCACCTCTGCTGCAAAGTATTTATCTTACAGTCCAAAAGTTCTTTTGGTCAGTTCCATACACCAACACTTCAGAACCTACCTCTTTCCTTCAAATTAAAGATCAATCAATACCAGGCTGCACTGTCACTGGGACAAAATTCTGCCCATAATTTACACCTAGAGATAACACTAGAGACTGAGCATTTTCTGATTCACAAAAGGCAACACCCTTCCACGGCTATTTGTTAGATGTTCCTTTGTCAAGGAACTTTCAAGACTTGATCAGAATCTGGCTAGTTCCCTAAAGATTTTTAAAACTTGAAGAAAAACTAGAAGGATGATTTCTTGATTATCTTGATTATCTCTTGATTGTACTTAAGAGCCACTGTGTCAAAACTGAATCTCCAGGTATCCAGAAACAGTTACTCTAGAAGAGAAATTGTATGATTCATTTTCTACCTATTTTAATAATGAAGTTTAATGAATATATATCACGCAACATTCTGAAATGAGAATAGACATACTATGGCGATTACCTTAATCAATAATGAGCAATTCTTTGTTCTGATGTCCCAAAAGATAGCAGTAACAACTTACTATTATCTAAAGTTGCTTCCAAACAGCAGAAAGATTTAAAAAGTGCCTTTTTTATTGTATATTTAAGTCATCTTTGTTATGTTTATAATCTCATAGACTTTCATGTTTAATTTGATCTTTTTATCTCATGAATAATGAAATTACATCTGTTTCGATTGCTGAGTATTTTAGAATGATGATAGGTACGTAAAAGCCCAGCCTTCTCGGCTGTTAAACCTGAGAACCTAAAACAAAACGTGGGCAGTGTTGA